GATCTCACGGAGAAATTGAACCGGCATGAAGCGAAGATGACCGAGCTTGCGCACCTTGTTGCTAGCCACGAGGATGTGCTCAAGGACAAAGAGGATCTCATTAGGAAGAAGGACTTGCTCATTAATGAGATTACCCTCGAGAAGCAGAAGAGTGTACGTCTTGTCGAAGAGCTTGAGGAGCAGATTACGAATACCTTCGATCAGCATCATAATCGTCTTTCTGTGATTCAGCAGGAGAGGCTCCAGGCTCTCGATGAGGCTAATGGTAAGATCGCGAACTTGGAGAAAGATGCTGAGGGCTACCGCGCTCGTATTGAGCATCTGGAGGTAATTTTTGCTCCTTACATATTGAAATAGGACGCATTTTACTTGTTTTGCTAATCCAAATTAAAAAAAAAAAAAAAAAAACAAGGGCCAGATGCGGAACGGCGACGCACCATTATCTATCGACCGCACCAGCTCCATGACTTCGAATCTCCGCAAGAGCGCCTCCGCGGCATCCCTCCCGTCTCCTCCTCCCGCAATTCCCCTCCCTCCTCTCCCCAACATCGCCGCCCAAACCGGCAGCATTTCCCCTCCCAGCTCCCGCCACACCAGCAAAGAACTTGTCAACGCCCAACTAGTCGAAGACCAAGAAGCACGCATCCGTACGATAGAGAAGCACCTACACGCCGAAAAGCAGCTAACCGCTACTCTAGAAGAAGCACTAGGCGACCTCGAAGCGCAAAGCAACAAGGTGAAAGCAGACATGGAGGCATGGAAGAAGAAGGCTTGGCAGTATGAGGATGAGCTGACGCAGCTGCGGTCTGAGAGGAATTCAACGAGATTATCGATTCAGGCTGTTGAGGAGGAGAGGAGTGCGAGGCGCGAGGCGGAGGCGGCACGCGCACATTTGGAGGAGAAGATGAACGCGATTAATAAGAAGAAGAAGAAGAGTACGCTTAATTGCTTCTGATTTTGGTATTGGTATTGGTATTGAGGATGGGTTGGTTTGTTTTGAGGTTTGGGTTTGCGGTGTGGGGTGTTTTTTCCTCTTTTTCTTTTTCTTTTTATCTTTTCCTTTTTTTTTTTTTTTTTTTTTTTTTTTTTTTTTTTGATACTACCCGTCTCCGTTGGATAATATCTGTTCTTTTTCTTTTCTATGCTGGACTTTCGCGAGTTGCTTTTATTTTGTGGCCTGAATTGATGTTACGTGCCTGTGTTTGCCCCTTTCATACCCTCATACCCAACCTTTCGCTTGGCAATTTCTTTCTCTTTGTTTCCTTTCACTTCTTGACGATGTTATTTATGACCCAAATATATCTTATCTCTTCCCCTTCATTGGCTGTTGATTATATCCCTCTCCGTACATGCTGCTTTCGTCCCTTATATTCTAGTTCCTCGTTCCTGTCACTCCCCGCCCTTTTCACCGGATCCGGAAACACGTCCGATGAGTGAGATAGACACTTGACTGCCTTGCTATTCCCTTATTCGTTCATTTGCTCCAGCGCACCCTCAAAACGTGCGGTTGTTTTTATACATATGTTCTATCCTGTTCAATTCTTTTATTTCTATGCATGCCTCATAACGTTTCGTTATTTTCTTATTTACTGTCTACAACTGTTCCCTTACTTATGTTCTATTTTTGATTCCCCTTTGCCTTTGTCTTTTCCCCTTGACTTCCGTACTCGTGCTTTTCTCCCCGTCTTTCTTTCGAATGTTATATATATCGACATGTGCTAGCAGATGTTATTTTCAGACTTGAGAGAACGTTGCCACTCTCTATCGCTACTAGCTCCAATTCGTATATTTATTGGTCACAATCGATTCTATAATTCTATGTATTGATATTGAATCACACTACACCGTTAATATTGCTGCAAAATGATGGGGAATTCGTAAAGTGAAAAAGGATAAAAAGATTCTAAAGAAAGGATAATAAAATTAGATGCAACATAGAGAGGCAAGTATATTTTATTGTTATCTATTTCTCTTCATACTTTCGGATTTCATATCTTGCTTCCAAGTTTTGTCTTTCTTCTACCCCATAGTTTAATATTTTGCCGTTGTGAAAACCCCAGAGTGGATCGAATTATCAACATCACATGACAAAAGCAGCAGAAGCTATGACCGCATAGCCAAGTTAACTCGAGCTCAACCATCCCGAAAGCTTGTTATGTTCAATAAAAACACTAAACACGACAGAAAATAACCCAAGAAGGCTCAATTCCAGTCCCGAATCCCCAAAAATGTCCAAACCCCCACACGGGATACCCAAAAAACACAGAACAATAACCCTCATCCACCCAGACCTCGGCATTGGAGGCGCAGAACGTCTTATCCTCGACGTCGCCCTGGCCCTCCAAACCCGGGGTCACACTGTAAGAATCTACACGTCACACCGGGACAGAAACCATTGCTTTGAGGAGGCACGCGATGATACTCTGGACGTGCGGGTGCGCGGGAACACGATATTTCCGGACCAGATTGCCGGGAGGTTTCGGGTGTTGTTTGCGGTCCTGAGGCAGCTGCATTTGGCGTTTGGTTTGTTGGTGGCTGGGGGTGAGGGAAATGAAGAGGGAAATGAGGAAGGGAGGGAGGTGGTGTTTATTTGCGACCAGGTGCCGGCGTGTGTGCCAATTCTGAAGACTTTTGAGTTACTGGCCTCATCGGCGTGGTTGGGTTCAAAGGCTGTAACGAAACGAAGGCAACGGATCTTATTCTACTGTCATTTTCCGGATCAATTGCTTGCGCGGCGCGACGAGGGTGGGCCTATACAGCGGCTGGTCAAGGCGTGCTATCGGTACCCGTTTGATTGGTTTGAAGGGTGGGCGATCAGTGCGGCCGATAAGGTCGTAGCGAATTCGAGGTTTACGTGTGGAGTTGTCAGGCAGGTTTTTGGGGAGGGACTGGGGGAGGTTAGAGTTGTGTATCCATGCGTTGATACCGGGGGGGTGGGTGGGAAGGAGAATGGGAGGGGCATAAAAATAAAAGGAGAGAGGGCTGAGGTGGGCAAACTGTGGAGTGGAAAAAAGATCCTACTCAGTATCAATCGATTTGAGAGGAAGAAAAATATTGCACTTGCGATTCGGGCTTACCACGGACTTGGGGAGGAGGGAAGAGAAGGGACGCGGTTGGTAATTGCTGGTAGGATGAATTTATAGCCAGCGTCTCTTTGAGTAAGGGAACTAACTAATACGTTATATTTTCTAGGTGGATATGATAATCGCGTACAAGAGAATGTTCAGTATCATACAGAGCTCGATGACATAGCCAAAGGCCTGAGCTTACGAACTGCCACGTCGAAAACGGTTATATCCGCCCTATCTATTCCAGATACGATAGATGTCCTCTTCCTCCTTTCTGTGCCGTCCGCGTTCAAGCATACTCTCCTTTCAGCAGCCACACTCCTCATCTATACCCCATCATATGAACATTTTGGCATAGTGCCTGTGGAGGCAATGCATGCCGGCCTCCCCGTCCTGGCTGTAAACAACGGAGGGCCTCTGGAAACGATTGTAGAAGGGAAAACGGGCTGGCTGAGAGATGCTCATGCCATCGAAGAGTGGACAGCAGTGATGCGGAAAGCGCTATGGGAAATGGATGCACAAGAAGCTGCCGTAATCAGCACTAATGCGAAAGAACATGTGGAAAAGGAATTCTCGCTGCAGGCCATGGGAGATCGGTTGGAGGACGAGATTCAAGACATGTTCGATAAAGAACCTCGTTCCTTTAAAGGGCTACGGGATTTATTGTTGTTGGGATTTGCCATGGTGACGTTGATTGTTGCCGTGCTGCTTGCAGTTTTCATAAATTTGTCAAAATCGGGAGGTTGACTTTACGTCGTAACTGTCGATTACCATACCGAATGGGCAAGCAAAGCGGTAGAATTGGATCAATGCTCCAGAAGTCCCTCCCATATTCTTTTGACGATTCCTTCCGTTATAAGCGGCGTCTATTCCCATCCCCGTATAGATTGGTGTGCAACTGTTGACTAATATTCAGTGCGGAAGACTGACAGCGTCGATATCATTATTATAGACTTTCCGTGTGGCAGTACGATGCGCTCCGTCCGCTGACTTAAGAGAGCAAGAGGAGGGGAATAAAACCGTCATCTCTCCCTGAGCGCAATATTTTTGCCAATCACTTCTCTTTTCCAACTCCACGCTAATATCCCATGAAATGACGCCTCTATCCAGCAGCCAACCTTGGGAACCTTAACAATATATTTGTCCTAGGTGAAGTCTATCATAAGCAGAAAACCCTTTGAGGACTATTCCATTCGCTATCGTATCAATAATTGAAATAGTGTGGCTGAGTCCCCCTGAGAGCCACACGGGTAGTTTATGATCTTAATGCTGTCATCAGACTTTGAAGAACAACCCTTCAGTCTCCACGTCTTATCCCCATTCCCAGCCTCTGTTTATCCAAGTTCCCCTTTGTTGGCCACAGTTTAAGAGACGTGGGGCTTATTTGTATGACAAGAAGGCACCTGTAGATAGAACCATATCGATCCACAAGGGCATTAAGTCAGGATGCCTAGCGTTCGAATAGTCCGTAGTATGAAGTTGAATGGGGCCTTTGTCGAAGTCGAGTCGTTAGGGCTAAGTTTCCGTTTTGGGGTAGATAACTCGATGGTTAACTATATCACCTGACCTCGTGTTATTGTCGTGTTTCAACGTTCAACGTCAGCTCGACTCAACATCAACGTGAACATCCAACTTCAATGTAAGGGCCTATCTCAACTGTCATAGGAGGACAGAGAAATTGATTGGAACAAAATTGAGTGTACTGCAGTTTATTTCCAGGAAATTCTACTTGATGATCTTGCTGCTTTGGAAGCAACCTCGGATATTGGATGCGCGTGTTCGGTTACCCCGGACTCGAGGCCTTTTGGTTTCCAAATACCATTGCATTGACCTTTAAAAACCTTTTGGATGCTGGTACACAGGAATTGGTATAGACTGATACAGCTCCGACCAGACCCATTTAGATTTGGAACTGCGTATCCAAAACTCACAATGCCCGAAGTTATCAGCCTCTTGTCGTCCCCCGAGGACGGGCGATCAAACAAGACTGAGCAGCCATCAACAGCAACGTTTGACCGACTATCTGACCACCCACCTCGTGCTTCTCGCATTGCTATCCTCTCTGATGATTCAATATTTGATTGGGGGAACCCAACCCCGGCCAAAAAGCGCAGATTGAGCCCAGAATTGGACCCGAGCCCACCAAATGGACCAACTCCTTCTCCGAAAACAAATCACATTGACTTGGAAGAAAGCATTATATTTTCCCCGGTACCCCGACTTAACAGTAATAAAACGGTGACTGCGAATAGTAGTAAGTGGAATGGTGACATCTCAGATCCGATCGAATTCACCTCGCCCGCCGTGGATTCGACAACGGCAAATAGAGCTGAGAATCGAGCATCAACCTCATACGATGTAATAACCATAGACGACAGTATTGTGGAATTCGATGAGCCGTCATCCCCTGGAGGCCCCTGGAATGCTTTACCATTGGCTCCTTCGAGCTCTAATTTGTCTAACAGAACGGCCAGCCTACTCTCACGGATTCAACAAAGTTCGTCAACAGAACCTAGCAAATTCAACCAGAAGGGAGTTAGTGCGTCTACGTCCAAATCTATATCCTGTACTTCGAAAATCCGTTCTCCAAAACCAAGTCAGACATTGGACTTCGATGACGATGAATCTCTTTCTCTTACGATTACAACGTCTAAATCAAAACGAGCTCCAAAGGCATCCACCTCTAACAAAGAAGCCCGGGAAGCCGAAAAATTGGCTGCGAGAGTACTCCGTGAAAGGGATAAAGCGGAAGAAAAAGAACGCAAGCGAAAACTGAAGGAACAAAAGGCAAAGGAGAAGCAACTCGCAACTGACCTTGCAGAAGCAAACAAGGGGAAGCTAAATAAGAAGGCTTCTACCCCAGAAATGATTATAGACATGTCTTCCACTTTTGAGGGCTCCACCGTTGGAAATCAAGTTACAGAGTATATGAGGCATCTTGGGGTGGAATACCATTTCGTCTCTACTCGCATGGCCGATATTGTTACTTGGAGGAGGAAAATAACCGCCCAATATAATGAGGAGGCAGGACACTGGGAGCCCTGTCCACTTACAATTAAAAAAGAAGACCATGTTTTATGCCACCTACTGGCTCAGCAGTTTGTCGACATGACCGTAGCGACCACAGGCAATGGCACTCTCGAATCTCATGTTTTTGAGATGAAACGTAGTTATCCAGGATGCAAACTAATTTATCTCATTGAGGGCTTAACTGTCTGGATGAGGAAGAACAATAATTCAAAGAACAGAGCATACCAAGCATCGGTCCTTCGAGACTTAGACGGCCCTTCCCAACCTCAACCATTACATCCGCCTAAACGCGGAAGAAAGCCCAAACAAACCGCAACACCACCTCCACCAGTCGATGATGATACAATCGAAGATGCTCTCCTCCAACTCCAAGTGCAACATGAATGTTTAATTCAGCACACGGGAGTGCCATCCGAATCTGCAGAGTGGATCAAGAACTTCACAGAACATATATCCACAGTTCCGTACCGGCACGAGATGATAAATCGGCATGATGCTTCATTCTGCATGGACGTCGGTCAGGTGAGGACGGGTGAGGATAACGCAGACACGTATGTCAAGATGTTGCAGGAGATCCAACGTGTTACGGCCCCGATATCTTACGGGATCACAATGCAATATCCCACCGTAGGGGAGCTGGTGAGGGAATTGAAGGAGCAGGGGCCTCTCCTTCTAGAGAATGTCAAAGTTTGTTATTCTTCTCTTCTTTTGTTGTCTTATCTATGTCACTATGAGCTGCACGACTCTTGATATACGGTTCACTGACCTAAATACCTACAGAAATGCACAAACAAAAGCGGTACTTTGTCGGATGGTCGTATTGGTCCTGCCATAAGCAAACGCCTTCACAAGGTGTTTACGAGCTTGAATCCGGCGTCGACTGATGCATAAAACTTTAATTTCGTTGGACATTGTATCAACATGGCTCATTTCCATTGACTCTTAGCACAACTTTTTCTTGGACTACGAAAATTTTCGATACCTATCGTATCATATCATATATATCATATATACCCCTTTTTCTCATGTTTCATTGGGTGTTGGGTGGTCCATTTTTTTTTTTTTTTTTTTTTCTTTTGTTCATCTCCTTGGATGTCCCCTATCCCTACGTCTGATTTGTTCACTTAATGGGATAATCCTTTGGTGCATTTTGAAGCGTAACAACATTCAATTTTTTTTTTTTTTTTTTTGCCCCATAAACTAGATAATCCCTCTATTTTGGTTTTGTGTCTATCATTCTGCAGGGCGAGACTATATTTTAGTATGCCAACACCCGTGTTATAGAAATTGAGAGACCAGACGGATGTCTGGATATAATATTATAGTGTATGCATGCTATATAACAAGGGGAAGGCCTAAGTCTTGGTCCTTTCGGCATGACGGTATTTCCAATCTCCCATGGAGTAGTTTCTGTTTTCCAGTTTTTGGTCCTGAGTACTGGATGGTAGCTGTTGCAGAAAAACTGAAACATATATAAGAGGGATACGCTAAAACAACATAGAATATCCCATGAACGATGGATGGAACAATTATTAATCGAAGCCCAAAATTGTCTCTCCATCAATATCAACTTACCAAATACTACGAGAGAAAATTGTTTCAATCCCCTAAGAACCTATTTAATCTAAATCTCGACACCCGCTTATCTAAATCAGTAAGTTAACGACATAAAAGAAGAGTAGAAACCCCCACTTTTGATATATGAAGTGGAATATCCATAGCCCAAAATACAACCCGAACATACATCCACATACGTATATATACACCTCCCGGATCGAATCCGCATGCCGCACCCGCTTTAACCCACTCACAGCCACCTCCCGGTTAGACCACAACGCCCCTCCGCTTCCAACCTCTCCACGCAATCGTCCACAATCCCATCGCAATCCACACACTAACTGTACATCCGAGGGCCCAAAATCCGTAACAGCCCCAGCCAACACACTGCGCATTCCCGTTTCCCTCTCCAATCCCATTTCGATCGCCCGCCCTCCTCGCCGCCTCATATGCCGCCGAATACACAACACCCCAAACCGCCGCCCCGGCCGCAGGGAACATCGCCACAACACCCCAATTGGTGCCAAAGTTCTCCACGCCCCAAACGACAGAAACAACGATTGGGACGAGAGCAAAAGCGGCGCCGTAGCCAAGACCGACGAGGGCGGTTGCGAGATGGAAAGATTGCGGGTAGGAGAGTGGGATGGGTGTGGAGAGGAAGATGAAGCCGAGGGAAAGGAGGAAGGCGGAGGGGAGGAGGAAAGTCATGCGGGAGACGATTATGTGGCTGATGAGAGAAGGGACACCGTGTTGTTCGTATGGGAGTTGTGAGTGGAAAGGAGAGGTGGGTTGGAGGTGGGGGTGAGCTGGGGACGGGGCGAAAACGTCGGATAGGTAGCCCGTTAAGAGGCGGGCGACGGTGGAGGTTAGAGCGATGATTGTGACGTGCGTTGCGGGGATGCCGGCTGGAGGAGGGAGGTTGGGAGGGTAAGAAGGTGGGGTTAAGGTTGGAATAATGGTACCCACCTTTTCGGAGTCGGGTTAGAGATATAACAGCATTTGAGGTGAGATGAGGGGGGGTAAGTTTATGTACACACATTGTTGATATACGCCTCTCCGGGCCCTGTAATCAAAAGGAATCCAACTGCAAGCCACAACATTGTTTTATCTTTCAAAAACAGCATCGTCTCCTGGTTAAGAAGCCAGTTCTTCTTCCTACGCTCCTCCATCTGACGGTCCCGCCATTCCTCCTCTGATAGCGTGAGGGATTCAGAATCATCGTCAAGCTGTGGATCAGTCTCAGTAACACCATCCATAGCCCCATAAGAAGCGAATGATGACGATATCGCCGCCCGAACCTCGTCCCTCGGGAGGAGAAAGTCGCTCTCACCAAGGATCCCGCTTCGTTCCAACCCATCCACTGCCTCGTCAATCATCTCCTCCTCATCCACAATACGCAACGCAAACGTTCCCCCAATGCCAATGCCAGTCAAAAGAATGCTTAAGAAGAGGAAGTATTTAAAAACATCGACACTACCCTTCTGCCCGTCCGGTCCACGCTCATATAATAAACGCGAGCCAACCTGGCTCTGCCACATGCCACTCAGGCCAAAAGCTGCAATGGGCAAAGCAAGCATAATGCCCTTATGCTTCCCGCGCCCAAAGTTCTTCGCACACGTCGTAACTGCAGCGAGATACATGCAACATGTGCCAGCACCTACGCCCACGAACGCTATGACCATGACGGCAAACGGCCATCCCGTGCCGCCTGTATCTACGGGGGGCCCGGATTTGTAGGCGAATGCTGCAAGAAGGTATCCGGGACCGAAGAAGAAAGCGGACATCAATGATATGGGGCCTGGAGAGTATCTATCACACAGATAGCCAAAAAATGGTACGAGGAAATACATGGAAATCGCCGCTGCGACGGCGACGGCATTGACACGGAATTGCGAGTAATGGAGCCGTGTGAAGAGGAGGGGTCCGTAGAGGGAGAATGCAGTTATACTCCCGGCGCAGAGTCTTAATTTATAAACCACACGAAAATCAATTAGTTTGTAGAATGATTTTCCTCATATATGGTGACCTCAAAAACAAAACACATAAAGACGAAGAAGAAAGAACGTGAACGTACGCACTTCCAACTCCCCATATAAAGCTGATAATTCTAACGGCCTGCTGCTCCAGTAACCTTCTATCCCGCTCAGCAATCTCGTTAGCGACCTCCTCGAGCAAACAACTTCCCCCATCATGGCAATAGCCAACCCGTCCCCGTCGATCAGGTTCACCCCCATCTTCATCTTCAGTATCCTGCAAGTGTAAAGGCCGATTAGCGTCGAAATCTCGTCTATCAATGATCCGAGCATGGCGGGTATTATTGGAGTCTGGCATCCTTAGAAGGTTTCGTGTGGGTTTAATCTTCTTCTTTCTTGTTTTGTTCCCCCGTAGAATAGGGCAAAGCAGATTGGAGGAGGGTAGGTATCGTCTGGAGTGGAATCCAGTCTCTGGTCTAACAGTGCCTATGCACTTCTGCAAGCAGCCTCCCAATCAAAGCGCTGCAACCACGTCCGACTCAGAACAGTAACAAGACGCAGCATGCAACGCCAGTCGTAAACTCTAGCTCCGGTCTGGCGCTCTGGGTCATTGGCGGGCGTTATCGTTTCAGGTACTAATTAGAGGAAGGAAAGAAAATATCTCTAGATCTCGAGTCGTGTTCAGGCTTACAATACCGGCAGCATCGTCCAATCCAGGTCGGGTTCCTCTACAAGGATTTCGACAAATACTGCCTGAGATGGGTTGAGACTCTGCCGTGACTCTGCAATGATTCTGCAGTTTGGGGGGGGCAAGATTTGTTGTGCCTGCCAGGCTACCCAATTAGCTCTCAAATGCTATGTTGTCATCTTCAAACCCTGTATGGATGCTTTCTCCGTGTCTGTATATCTTGATAGCTGTGTTTTGCAGTGAAACAAGTTCCACAAACATTCGGACTCCACCCTCCGTAGCTCTCCGCTCCAGAATTTATCCTGTCCTGTTCTGTTTGATGATGGTTGATATATGTTGACAGTTGTTGGATAGTTTCTTAGGTTCGTTGATGCTTTTTGATCCGAGGACGACGTGGACACTTTTCCTATTTCGGAAAGGCCAACTATCACGTGATGAGTAGCTCGGCAATGTGTCGGCGTTTGTTTTTCCGGACTCCGAAGTATTCCAAGGCAATCCTCAGGCATCAAACGATGGAAGCAGAGAAGCTGCGGAGAAGAACTGCTCCAATAATACATAGAAAACCCATGCATATAATATAATATATATATATATATATATATATAACCTGTAAGAGTGCCATCGACCTATCGCAATTAAAAATAAAAGTATCATAAAAACATCCCACCCCTGTTCCTCCTCTTCCCCCATAATCACCACCCTTAAAACCCTTACAGAGAAACAGGGGAGAAATAGAGATAAAGGAACAAATTAAAAAACACCAGCGCCCCAATTTTCCAATTTTCCCATTTCCCATTTTCCTTTTTCCATTTTCCGCATGTGCGTGTTGTTTTAAACATGAAAAAAAAAAAAAAAAAAAAAAAAAACCCATTCCGCTCATCTAGGCCGAAAACTCCATCGATCCATCCATCGCCATCGCCATCACCTTGGCAGAAAAAAATCCGCAGAAAATACCATAGAAAAGCTCATGCAGAAGCAGAAAGACAACAGTGAGAAAAAATAACAATCGAAGCTTCTCACTATATCGCATGACATGGTATGGTGTGTTTGCCGGCTATATGCAAACACTTCACAGGCCTCTCAGCTTGTTTTGCACCCCATTTTCTCAGTCAGTCATCAATGGAATAGTAGAAAACGGAAAACAAAAGAAGGGGCCACAAAGCTGCAGTTACACAGGTGGCAAAAAAGTCATCAAAATGTAAAAAGGGCGAATGAAATAAATCAGCATAGTCCTCTCAATGCCACTGCAAAAACCACCAGTCAAATCACAACTGAAGAAAAATGGAAGAAAGAAACAAGATTAAAATGATAAAAGGGCAATCCAACTCTGCCAGGGGGGGGTTTTGTAGGTGTAATAACGAAAGAGAGATAGAAAACCCATGAAATTCCACAATCTATTCCATAACAAATATGAAAAAGAAGAAGCATAAGAAACGAGCTGCCTGAGCGGCATACAAACCTTTCTTCCAGACTAGATCAGAGCCCCACCAAAACTAAACACTAACCTCCCCAGGATCCAGGTCCATAACCCCTTCCTCCCAGAACCCATTTTCCTCCTCCCCACGCGCCGTACCCCTAGGGCCCAACGCCATTCCCTCCCCCTCGCCGCGCTCCACATAATCCTCATCATTAATCTCCTTCAATATGCGCTGGAAATACATGCGCAACGACCGCAGGCCACGAAGGTAGCCACGATCGATATCATGGGGCCGGCGGGGTGGACAGGGCGCGTTGGGCGGAAGGCCATCTTCGCCCGTGATGCAGTTGGCGAAGTCGACGATTTTCACGCGCAGACCGTAACTGTTGTTATTACTATTATTGCTGGCTTCTTCGGATGTACGGGACTGCTTGCTGCTGTTGTTGCTGTTGTCGTTGTCTCCTGCTTTCTTCGGTTTACCCGCCGATGATATGGATTTGCTGCTAGTATCGGCCTCCACACCCTTGGCGTCATCTAGTTTTTGCTCCTGAGCTCCCTTTCCACCCTTTTCCCCATCGTATAGAATCAGCAGGCTGCTCGCGTAAAGTCTATAGCCGGGGAGTTTTCGGACCATGCTCTCCAGCAGAGCAAGCTTATCAAGGATGATAGGAATCTTCTTTGTAACGCTGGAATAACTAACACCATCATACAAGAACCGCGTAAGCGCGTCCTGGAACTGTCTTCCAGCCGTAAGATCACGGCCAAAATATTTATCCTCGAACAAATAATTTTGGTTCTTCACATTCCAAACTTGCATCCCACAAAGGCGAACGCCAAGTTGTTGTGACGTGGTTGTCTGGCATTTGCGTCGCTGGGATTTCTTCTTCTTCTCGTCTGCCTCGATGCCGTACTGACGCGTTCCCATTTTCAAATCCAGTACACAGGGCCTGTTCATACCAGCAGTGAGGTCCTCAAGAAGCAGGAAGAACTGATTACGCTCATCGCGCGTTGTCTGGGCCTCTTTGGGATTTACAGGGAGACGCACAGGTATACCAGCGGGAGTACTAAGTGAGATTGGGAGTTCCTTGATCTCATGCGAAGAGGGAGACTCTGGATTGGGCTCAGTGTGCTCAGCAGGGGAAACCTTGGCAGGAACAAGCCCTGCTGTTGTGACATGTTGGGAAGAAGAAGATGATGATGCCGGCGTAGGGATTGACGGAGCTTCTGGCTCCATCTGGAAGATATCATCTTCTTTGTCTCCACCATACCCTTCATCGTCAAAGTAAATAAGCTCTCCAGATTGGCTATTGCTCATACTCCGTTTCCTTCCGAGCCCACCACCCGAATGGCGGCGACGCATACGACGAGAAGTGACGGGTTTTAGGATCTTGGGACGCTGGGGTCCATCTTCCGTATAAACTTTCTCAAGCGGGTGCATCTCCCCGTTCACGACGGTGGAAGCCGATGACGACAGTTCAGCATCCTTGTCCTCGTCGCGGTTCATTCGAAGTGGAGGCAGAGATCCTTGGCGGATGGTACACGCGGAGCTATCACCTTGAAAAGATGGCCGTTCCATTGATCCATGATTGCGTTGCTGTGAGATGTCAGACCGCAGTCTGGACATTGAGTGACGACCGTGAGGATGGCGGCGGTGATGGTAAATGGGCGGGGGCGCGAAAACTTCGCGGAGAACCTGTTCCTGGAGCTTTGTATTGACAGTTGTCGCGCCCCAGCTTGCTCCATGTCGTTTTAGTGGGGGGTTAGTAGTGGATGACGCTGGTGCCAGCTTGAGCGAGGGATCGTCCTGGCTAACTACCTGCTGGGCATCGGAGGTACCTCCTCTCCCTTCTGGAATGGTAGGAGTTGTGAATAGATCTACCGGGATAATATGCCGGTTATTCTCGAGTATCACCTTTGGAACCACTCCTGTAACTTGAGATTGGCTGAAAATCCGCTGACTTTCCGTGTCCTTTGTTTCAGTTGAAGTCTGAGAAGCTTTCCCAACAGCGTCTTTAGAGGAAGTTGTTGCGCTTCCATTTTCAATGGCGCTCCCATCAGGTTTACTCTTTGATCTCTTAGGACCTTTGGAGAACGTCACATTGAGAACTCCAATATACCTATAATGCACAGGTAAAGGGATATAGTTAGCATTCTTGTAACAGCAACCCGTATAAATCCACGCGTAATGGGGGCTCCCAGCTAGTAAGGAGACAGAAGAAAATAGGTAAGACAAACCTCGCAAGAAACGGCAGCATGTCTGGATGTCTGCGCTCAATTCTCTCATAGAATTCATTTTCGCGGTTATTGAGCTGCTTACAGACAGCACGTCTGGAAAATCTGAACACAGTACTGTGACCCCCAACTTGATGGCGGTATGGCTTCAACTCCACTGCACCCAATGGCACAGTAGGCTCATGGGCATATTTGCGTGAGTGGAAGTGTGAATGTGTGTATTTATGTTTGTGTCGTGCAGCAGAAAAAGAAGCAGCACCACCAGCCAACCCAGTCACACCAGTCTCTTCTTCACGCGCAGAGAGCCCACTCTCATCCACTGAGCTGAGTTCAGACTCAGACATCGACTCCGTCCCCAGCTCAGAAATTGTAGTCAATTGGCGTTCTCTCTTCTCTCCTATTTTGCTTTCAGGGACAGTAACAGGCACATTTCCATGGAGAATACGAGTGTCAGTATCCGAATGCAACGATATATCCACGTGATTTGATGGCTCAACTGGCACGCCCTCATGGGCCTCGTCCTGTAAAGTTAACCGATTCATCTCCTTCTCGCAAGGCTCTTCAGGGGATTGGGCTTGCTCTTCGGTATCCTCCGATTCAGGAAGTTGATGAGGGAAATACAGGGCAGACGAGATGCGTTCCTCGTCCTCATAGCTTTCAGAACCGTCCCGTGTCAGTTGCTGAGTCGTATCAGATTCAGGGGAATTACTCTCGAACGCGGAATCCGATTCGAAAACAAAGGGCGAACCCCGATCCATGATCGGGGTTGGCAAGCTGCTTGCCGATTTAGAAACAAAACCACGGTAACTCTTAGTCTTTTCAAGGAGCTCAGCGGGGGTTTTCTTCCACCTGTCTGTGTGGGGTTTTTCTTCGGGGCTGTCGATTGTAAAGGAACGCGTCGTGCGAAGTGTTGGAGTGGTGTCAGAACTGGAATCGAATACCTCACCATCATCACCCTCACCACGATCTTCGTCATCACCATGGGAACCCTCCTCGTCATCCTCTTTCTCTCTGTGTAATTGGTGCGGTTCTGATACATCTGGAGGGAGAAGAAAAACCTGAGATCGTGAAGATCCCTCAGCAGCAGGAAATAATCTTCCCCGCTCGAAAGTAGAATCCCCAAGGCCAAGTTGACGGTCCTTGGTCCTGACGGCACGTTCTACAAGCCGCTCATCCCGCTTCTTACCTTCTGGAGATTTTGTATTCTCCTTGAACAGACCTAGGTAGTGGCTTGACTTCCGGCTCCGAACATTTGCAGCCGGCTCAGCATGGGCCAGATTAGCTTCGATTGAGGTATCCTGGCGCGTGTGGCGACCTTTGCTCAAACTACGGAGTGGAGGGCGCGCACGACGGGGATCTGAGGATGATTGTAACGGGTCAGACAACTCTACGGAGTGGGAATGGGCTGATTGAGCCGTGCCAATTTCTCCGTCAAATAACCTTGAGGAGCTCGAACTTGGCATTTTGGCGGTAGTACTGGTGGGAGTGGTAGATACGGAGGTAGGTTTAACCTTGTTGGGAGGATTGGGGAGCAGAAGAGGAATAGCTTCGAGAGAATCCCAGGTCTTGGCTCTGGGAAAGCCTGTGAACGATGATGATGGCTTTGCGAATGTCGAATTAGTGGTCCGTGGAGGTGAATGGAAGAGTGTATCTTTTGGTCGGTCAATTTCACCACCAGTTCTGGTGGTGGTGCTGCTGCTACTGCCGGCAACACCGCAAGGGTGTTGCACAATATGAGTACTAATCATCGGAAAGAGGGTTGGGGCAGAAGAGTGAGGGTGAGAAGGGCGCAGGTGAGAGGAAGAAACAGGTGAAGAAGAGCTACTGTTAGTAGTATTGGTACAAGTGTTTGGTTGGATGTTTTCCTTCCGCACGGGGTCAGTGGACAGAGCAGGGGCATCGCCATCTTGCCAGCAACTAGAAATTTGCAAATAGTGATTATTGTTATTATCGTTGTAGTTTTCGTTATCGTCGTTGTTGATACTGATATTCTTCCTAGATGTTTGTCCTCCACGCTTCGCAGCCGCCTGCTGCTGCGAATATTGTCCACCTTGTTCCAGTTTCCCCGCGGATCTGACCCGTAACAATTGTTGGCGTAGAATAGAGGAGGCAGGTCTCCACGAGTCCTCTCTTGCCTGCGTATTGTTTACATCGTTGTCTGAGGGCAAATAATGCGTGGCAAAGATGCTTTCTCTCTCAGACAGTTGAGGGCTCTGGGGGCGAAAGGAGGAGGATGAGAAAGCGAAGGATACAGCAGGTGGGGAAGTTAGGGGAGTGGAGCCTCGAACAGGAGCAGTATTTGTCCGTTTAAGAGGGAATGAGACATCCGGAATTTCTAACCGGCTCGCAGGTGGAGTGGTAGTGGGAGTGAGAGTGGGTGCCGGAGTGATGGCGGTATTAGCATCTATGATGGTGTGGGGAGGAGGAGGAGATGGGGAAGACGAGGGAGGAAGAGCCGCAGTGAGAGGCGCAGTTTCAACGTGGGCAGGCTGTTGGCTGAGCGGGCAGCGGCCAGCAACCAGGGACTGCAGAAGACCCGAATCATGAGGGGCATCGGGCGCAGGTGTCACCAGGGTAGTGGGCGAGGGATCAACCGGAGCGGAAGAAGGGACTGACATGGGGAGGACATTGGTCAAGCCAGGGCAAATTATCGACGGGAACTAGATCAGCCAAAGAGAAGTGAGGATGAAAACAGGGGTTTGAGAGAGAAAATGAGAAGAGAAGAGAAAGAGGAAGCCGGTGACGATATGGATAGCGTGGTCGGCACCCGGTGATTGGAGGAGGTTGGACAAGATAGGAGGACAAGAGCTTGGGAGTTAGCAGGAAAAGAGAGTTAAGGTACGGCACGGAGGTAGGTAAGTAGGTTGGTTGGCTGGTTGGTTACGATGATGAAAAGAAAAATGATGCTGAAGATGGGTTTAAGTTGGTTTAACGTTCACTATGGCGGTGGCTGGTGACGGAGACTAAAACTCAAAAATTCAACAAGATAGCAAAGAAGGACAAAGGGATAAAGGGATTAAGGGGATCAAAGGGAAATAAAATACTCTGGATAAAAGAACAGAGTTGAATCTTCTACATATACAGGTATTTACTTATTTAAACTGGTGTCAAAATGCAGATATACCATTCAAGTATAATGAGATGAAAGCTCAACGGAAGTAGTTTTTCTGGTTAACTACAGCAGAAGAGAGGATGACAAAAGCTTGTTCGATGAGATGCATCAAGGCCAAGAATAATAAAAGCATCTTCGGCATTTTCATCAATTTTAGTTTTCTAGGTTCTTTTACATTGTGATTGACAGTGCATTGAATAATCTTCCATGGGGGGCTGGCCTTGTTGAGCCATACGCTTAATTTAACATGTTCTTGAGATGATAAATAGGACAAGAGGAGCAGACAATACAACGACTATATAGTTAACTAATTAATTTACAAATCTAATTATAACTATATATTGTTCTTCTACCTGCTTTTAAAGGGGTAGGTGTAGAGATGACTATAAAATGTAAGGCGTAGACTCAATAAAATTTTAGTAGATAGATATCTTTAGCCAATTACCCTACCTCCAACGATCACTCCAGTCCCTAACCTATCGTTATCCATTAACTATATATCCACGGATCCTCCACCGAACTGCCGAAATCTACTCTTTAAAATACGGAATACAGCTCCAGTGGGTAGGTATTGTCAATGCAGCTCACCAAATCTAGCTAGCTATATCACCCGTGAATATTAATAGGTTAGTTAGCTGTGCTGCTGCTGCTGCACCAACCCCCCTTCTCTCTCCACGCCCAATCATCCTCCACCCCCCCCCCCCCCCCCCCGCCCGGGGTCCCCGGGGCCCCCTCCCTACTCCCCAAAAAAGGGAGAAATCCCCCTTTTTCCCCCTTAAAAAGAATTTGGCCAGGGGGACCCCCCCAAGTTGGAAACCTTTCACAAAATTTACTTTGGCCGGGAGGTGGTGAAACGACCCGTACAACCCAGGTAATCGAAGAGCCGCAAAGCCAATGGGAGGGC